GTGAGAAAAAAGAAAAAGAAGAAGAGTTAAAACGAATTGAAGAAGAAAAGAATAGAGTTGTTCATAAAGCACCTAAAATTATTCGTTCGACACATTTTAGACATATTAATACAAGGGCATTTAATAAAAATACTAATATTATTGATTGTAAAGTTAATACTAATAATTCACAGTCATTAATTAAAGTAAATACCAAATGGGTTGGTATTCCTTGGACTGGTATTGGTAAAGTTGCTGTTTGGCCTTTAGAAAAATCAGGTAAAATGATTGATCCAATATTTTGTGATAATGGTGGAAATATCAATGACTTTACTTTTGATCCATTTGATGATAATATCCTTTATATAGGAGGAGAAGATGGTAAAATAAAAGTTTTTTCAATTGCCCCTGAAGGAGCAACAAAAATAAAAGAAGTTCAAGCACATAATAGAAAAATTAATGGATTATACGTTAATCCATTTGTAAAGAATTGTGTTATTTCTATTGGAACAGAGCCATGTTTAAAAGTCTGGGATATTGAAAAAGGAGAATCACTTTTTGATGTTACTGGATTTGGTGATAATATTAATAATATTAGTTTTAGTTGGGATGGTGAAAGAATTGCTGTTTCATGCAAAGATCATATTGTTAGAATTATAAATTGTCGTAATGGAAATATTGAAAGTCAATGTGAAGTACCACAAAATGGAGGAAAAGGATTTTTAGTTTGTTGGTGTGGTAGAATTGAAAAATTATTTACTGTTGGATTTAATAAAATGTCACAAAGAGGATATTCATTAATAGACATTAAGGATAATATGAAAGTTATTAACACTACTGTTATTGATACTGAATCATCAATTTTAACACCAGTTTATGATGAAGATCTTAATGTTTGTTATTTAATTGGAAGAGGTGCTAAAACAATGCATTGTTTTGAAATAACTGATGAATCACCATTTGTTCATTCATTAAATATTTCTACTTTTAATGATGTAGTTTATGGATTTGATAAATTCCACAAACAATGTTGTGATGTTAAAAAAGCTGAAATTATGCATTTAGTTTTATTAAATGGAGAACCACCATCAGTAATAAGTCAAACTTCTGTTTATGTCCCACGTGTAAGACTTGAATATTTCCAAGATGATATTTATCCTGAAACAAGAAAGAATGAAGCTGTTTATACTATTGAAGAATGGATGAATGGAATTCAAAAGGATATTCCTTATATTAGTCTTCAACCTGAAGGAATGAAGAAATTATCTGAAGCACCAGCTGAGAATGAACGTGCTAAATATTCATATGAACAAGAAAGAAAACGAATTGAAAAGGAAGAAGAAGAGAAAAGAAATGCTGCAATTTTTGATCGTGTTTTTGAAAGGATGAATGAAAAAAGAGATACATTTGATCCAATTGAAGATGATTCTGAGTCATGGTCTGATGATTAATTCTATCATTTTTACTTTTTGTTAACTTATCTTAACTATATTAAATCAAAAGATAATCAAAATAAATAACAATAAACTAATTCAATTTGAAGTATAAAACAATACCAATAATTAATATTAATGCCAAAACAATAATTACTGAAACGAGAAGAATAATTTTTAATTTTTTTGATGATTTTCTTTGGTACTTTTCAGCAGTATCTATTTCTTTATTTCCTTCATTTACTTTTTTATCTGTTGTAAGTACATTATGTTCAATTGAATCTATTTGAGTTTGTTGGATTTGAACCATTCCATTTAATTGTAAAAATGTTTGGTGTAATTCTTTTTGTTTGTCAACAATTGTTTTAATTTGTTCTGTATTCTCTTGATGGATTGCTAATACTGATTCACTTTCTTGTTGTAAATAAACTTCATCTTTGTTTATTAATGGTGATGATTCATTTCCAGTTACAACTGGAGCAGGTGGAATAGAAGAATGAATTGAATAAATCCATTCTTCAAATCCTTCAATATTTTTTTCTAATTCATCCGTTTCATTTTTAAATTGTTTAAGTGTTTGAATTGTTTTATTAAATTGGTTAATTTGGTCTTCAAGCATTTTATATTGTAAATTGTATAACTTTTCATCGTTATTCTTTGTTGCTAATTTCAATTTTTTAATAGTTGTAGTAATTGTTCTTTGATTATTTTTTAATGATGTAATAGCTGTGTCAGTCATGGTGTATGATAATAAAATATCTAGGTTAAGCTTTCAATGAAATTTCATCATTCATATTTAGTTTTCTTTCTTTGTGAAAATTCATTTTATTTTAAGCGAAATTTCTTCTGAAAATAATCAAAAATTAATATTTTTCAAAATAATACAATATAAAGACTCAAATATAGTAGTTCTAATCAAACAAAACAATTATCTTCTTTTGATACAAGGAGAGGAAAAAATGGTTAGTATTAATGTGATAAATGTAAATAGAATAATATTATAATGATAATGATTTCGTTATTATAAAAGAAGTAAAAGATGGTTTTTCTTCTTTTTTTGTGCTACTTTTATAATATTTTTGTTATATTCTATTATTATGAAATTGTAGAAATAACAAGAGAAGAATTAGACAACACACAAAAAGAAAATGAAACACAAAAACAAGTCATATCAAAACAACAAGATGAAATTGTAAATATTATCTCATAGAAGGAACTAGAGAAGAAGAAAATGATGACATTGGTGATAAATACACAATCGGTATTGAGGAAAGCGTCATCAGGAACGATGAAGATGAACGAAACTACTCCTATGAAAAAGGCAGTAATTGAAATCGAAGAGAAAAGCAATGATTATCAAAAAACAAGAGATGATAATCAGACAAGAAATACAACAAACCAAAGAAATCAAATTTTAATTGAAGTGATGTATTGTTTTGAATTAATTGGTTAAATAAGAAATTATATAAGAAATGAAGAAATGAAGAAATTGAAAGTATAATAAAAGTGACAAACATCAATGTCAATAATGAAAAAGAATATATTAAATATATTAAAATATCACATAATATAAAAGAAAGCATTAAACGGCACATTAAAGTGAAAATAAATGATATAATGGAAGGAAGAGTAGAGTGTGATTCAATAATAAAAATCATCATATTAAAGAATAACTCTACCGAAATTGATGAAGAATACCTTAACACTCTCATCAATAAAGTAAAAGAAATGAAAATAGAAAAATGTTCAAATATTAATTACTACTTTCAAAGAAAAGAAGCTGACCGATTAATAATGGAAATTAATAATAGATGGATATGGTCAGGAAGCAGAATGCATTATCTACAAGATGATATGAAGAATATTTCAATGATTATGCACCTCTATCTCCAAAATCAAATAATAAGAGATAAATTTGATGAAATAAAAGAAAT